TCGCAAGTTGGGGTGTGTGTGTTGGTGGGGGGTGGAGGCGGGCAAAGGTCATATTTTAACTCCCTGGTGCGTCAGTCCTTGTCCCCCCGGCGGCGGCAGCGGCGGCAGCAGCAGACCAGGCACAACCTCACTCCCTAGAGATTCCGAGAGGAGAGCACGTCCCTAGATTGCCTTTTTGATGTTTTCAGAAAAGCTTGTGGCTAAAGTAGTTTAAACCGACTTCAAAGCCCTTAAAGTTCTAGTGGCCCAGTAAGTGTTAAGGTTGGAAAAGGGAACGTTTGACTTTCATATGTCACAGGTAATTTCGAGAGGGAAGTCACCTTGTGTGGGCTACTCTCCGACTGTTCAGATGTATTTCCTCTGGCTCTGGAGGACTTGTCTGTTCTACCCCGCCCAGCCCTCCTCTCCCGACTCTCTGTGACTGCGAAGGCCTGGCAGGCCAAGGCGGGGCTGCAGGCGCCAAGATGACCCGCTGGCCTCCACCTGCCTATGGGCTCACACCTTGGTTCCCCGGCTCCCCCTGGCGCTTGGCTCCAAGGCGGGTTCACTGCTCAGGGAACTCCGGGCGGCCACCTAAGCAGAGACTCCCAGCTGCCTAACATCGCCTTCTGCCCAGTGGTCCCAGAGTCTGAGGAAGCACAGGATACAGAGCGAGTACAGCCCGGCCACTACTGGGGCTGTCGCCTCGGCACTGCGAGGAGGCCTCAGTCCACGGCCATTGGTCAGCCAGGCCCAGCAACCTTTAGATCGCGGGGAGCAGAAAGGATGCTTCCTGGTCGTCGGAAAGCTCAACCCGTGGGTTAGATGCTGCGGCCTTGGCTCCTAAACCTTCCCTTAGCGCAGGCAGATTCATGGGTCGCGAATGCTTCGCGCTCTGAGTGAAATCCTGGGGGTTGCGGGGCAGCCTGTTGTGCTCCACAGGGGCGCTCACATGGCCCCTAAGTCCCTGAGAGGCTCTGGTTGAGACTCACAGAGACCTCTGAAGATGACTGTCTTCTCTGTGTGAAATGCAGGTGAGGACTATGGAGACTACAGAGGAGAATTCCACTGCTGGAGGCCCCCAGACGGCCTGCCGAGGGTGGGAACAGAGCACCTCGTGCTCCTCCCTTCTACTTCTCTCCAGGGCCTCCTGATTTCCAGACCGAGCCTGTGAGGGAATCTATGAGGCCGGATCCTTCTCCTGCACTGGTCTGCCCTGGGCTTGAGTCCAGGCTTAGAAAGGTCGATGGGATTCCCCAGGCATTGGGCAACATTCTGGGCCCCTTTGGGCAAGAGTCAGGTTAGCACTCTCGCCTCTGGATACTGGAGTGAGTCCTGTGTATATCCCAGGCCTCGATTTCCGGGCCAGTCCCCACACTGGGCTTGGGCTTCCATATTGAAATTAATTGAAAAATACGTTTCCGACCTACGAATATGTTTATCTGTTTTCATCAGAGGGATCACACTGTAATGAATATATTTACATCTCATTTCGAGTAAAGCAGGAAAGATTGGTGAGCGCTTGGCGGCAGCTCGGCTCCCCTCCCCCTCCACGCCCCGCTGCAGCCCACCCCACCTCAATCCCCAGGCTCTGCCATCCAGCAGCCTGGGAGGGCTTCCTTAGGCTTCCTGGGAGGCGGTCAGTGGTTAAATATGATTTCTCCCCACGACCCTCTTGCCTTGGGTGCCCAATCTGCAGGGAAGTCAGGCTAGGCCCTAAGACATTATTCTGGGTGTGGAGCAAAGAATGAAGCCCATTGCAGAAAGGGACACCTCAGAGGGCAGGAGGGTCCTGGCGCCCCAGGGGCTCCACACCCCTCACACTCCTCCTGCCCAGCCGCCCTAGGGCTGAGGCTCATCTCCAGGCAGGCTGGCTAGGATAATGGACCTACCAGGACTTCTCCACAGAGAACATGGTATTGCCTGGGCTGTGCTGCATCCAGAATATCAAAACTTCAAGCTGGTTGGAGTGTAGGAAAAATGTTAATGCATTTTTAAAGGCGGTGTGTGGGGTGGAGGTGGGGTGTGTGGGAGGGTGGGTACCAGATACTTCTAGACAGCAAATTGAAATAAAAACTTTGCCAATGACTTATGAAAGTGAAGTTCTTGCCTAAACCAGGCCTGTTTGGGTCTAAGGGAAGGGGAGGAGGTGAGAGGTGTTCTTTTAAACGATCTGGCTTATTAATACATTAAGAAAAAGCTCCATTGGCAGTTTGTGTTCTCACAGTGTGGACTGTGATCCTATAAATCATTCATTCTTGGAAAGCTGTTACAGAGAGGGGCACCCCCACTCCCCACAAGCACACCCAAGGAGAGAGGCCTGGAGGGAGGTTTCTGCACTGGACTGGCCACTAGGGCCCTAAGGCTGCTTCTGGGAAGAGCCTGCTCCAACCTAGCTTCTCTGTTCCCAGGTTCCAGGTCCACGCCCTCAAGTGCCACGGGGAACTCCCATCCATCCAACAGATCTCGAGGGCCCACCAGGGAACCTCTGTCATAGAGTAGGGAGAAAAAGGCAAACCATAGCCACCTCTTCAACAGACCCTAGGGAAAGCAAAGCCAGGGCTCCCAGTACAGACCCCAACTCTCTCCCAGAGCTGGGGAGAAGCCAGACCCTCCAGGCACAGGCAGAAGTTGTGGAAGCTTCTGATGGGCCTTCTCCCTCCCTTGGCCCCCACTGCTACTGCTCCACCCTCTACAGCCAAGCAGGTTCTCACCTGCAGTCACTGAGGCATGCAATGACCTGGGACTCCACACCCTACCTCCCCGCACAGGACCCGGCCTCTTCCAGCCTGAGGCCCAGCTACATGGGGCTGCTAGCCTCCCACCACCCACAAGGTCATATCGAATGTCACTGGCAGCCAAGGCTCCCTGCCCTCCCTAACTACCATGGTCCATGCACAGCCGGGCCCTCCGAGCTCTGGCTCTCAGAATTTACAAAATCAAGGTAGTGGCTTGGTTTTAGGAAATAAATCTAGCCAACTTAGTAATGGACCTTTAAAGTTCTCCCTTCTTAACCGCCCCCCCCCACCATTTTAATAAGTAGAAATTAATTGGAGGGTTCTCTTGCACTGACGGCATCTGTCAAGCAACCAGACACATGGGTTTTGCTAAATTCTTTTATTTTTGTTTAAATTTTCACTTCAATTTTAATTCTTGAAGAACAGCCTTGACAACATATATCGCACTCATTATAAGAAGCAAAGGGTTATATCAAAAATTATTAGTATAGAATCACAGGAAATCTGGTTTGGAACCAGAAAAAAATACAAAACAGATATAGATACATAGACACAGGACAATTTTTTATAATTATTTGGAAAATGTTATTTTCCCCTAATTCTTGTTTCCTTTTTTATGTGCATACGATGTTTAAATTTTACAAAAAATGAAAATAAAGACTAGTATCTTACAAAATGAATAACAATGTTTGGGGTGCGTGTGTGTGTATGTGTGTCTTTCTACATAGGAGTCAGTCCACTTCCATGTGTTGTTTTCTGTACAGAATATATCCACATCCGTCCACAATAAATCCTGGAAGGTCCATTAGTCTCCTTCTGTTTTATTAAAATTCTCATGGTCCTCTCTTCCAAAGATTGTTTTCTTTTTCTCACCAGACACAAGGTCTTTTTTCTTTCCTTTCCAATGTGTTCACAGATCTGATCCTAAAAGAGTCTCTTTTTCTCCTGGTTTGCAGCTCAGGTTGCATTTCTGCAGAGTGGGCTGCTTCTGCTGACCCGGCCCTCCTCCCCCCTGCCCAGCCTGCCCAGCCCGCTGCACCCTGCATCAGCTGCCCGGTGTCCCCCAGGCTTTGGAGTCCATGGCCTGCCGGTCCTCTGAGTCTCTAGGGAGGTGGGGGCAGGTGGGAAGTGCCCAAGGTCTAGGAGCACTGGATAGACATGTAAGGCCAGTTGAAGCTGCTCCCAGACAGTAACATATCACGGATGAGAGTTTCGATGGGGGTTTTACCTACCAAACGGACGAAGAACAGCTGCTCGATGACTGAAGAGGACACGGTGCGCAGAGAGGGCAATCGCAGTAGCAGTTTGCCGAAGCGGCTGGGCTGGTTAGGGTACTGGCTCCTCACATACTCCTCCAGTGCACACTGAGACTTCTCCTGCAGGCTCTCGATGTGGGCGGCATCCGACAGGCCACAGGCATCTGCCCGGGGCAGTCACAAGAAGGAGAGACCAAGGGGAGGGGGCACAAGATTAGGTCAGTGAACAGTAAAGGCCCAAGTAACAAGCCATTACAATTTTTTTTAAGGAGAAAAGAGGAAAAAAGAAATAGAAGGAAAAAAAATCTGCCCCTTCATGCCTCCCTTCTCCTTTTTCCACCACTCCCTTCCCTGAACCCCCAATACAACAAATAAAATAAATCAAACCGCCACCAAGCCTGGGGGAGCTGGAGAGAGAAGCACACACATGCAGAGGCAGCAACCTCTCTAGTCCCTTTGTTTTTCCTCTTTCACCTTTGGATTAAATAATGTACGATGCTGGAGCCATGTTTGCTCTGTGTTGCAACCTGTCCTCTGCCTGCAGGGGAGCATCCTTCCACTGTGCTCATTAAAGGGAAGACTTTTGCCCCCTTTGCCTCTGATTTTGGGGTGTTCAGGAGCCCTGAAGAAATACGCAGCCTGAAGGCAGTCTTAAAAGCTTCTTAGAGTCCCCCTTTCAAGCCCAAATGACCCCAACCAGAAACCTCAAAGAAAACCTAGTTGTGTTGTGAACAAACACATGGGAGGGAATAAGGAATCATGGGCAGGCAGTGTTTGGAATCAGATCAAATCCATGCTTTAGCAAAATAAGATTTGAGATCCACTATCTATGCAAGCAAGAACTCTGCAGCAAATCCTTGGTGAGAGTGTACACTTCTATCTGTGTCTTAGATCAAGTAATTGAAAATTGGTCACATCTCTGTAAGCCATATAATAATCAGAAGGAATATGGCTCAGTTACTCCAGGCTGCAGAAAGGAGACATCTTCAGCGATCAGACACAAAGCTGGGCTAGAGACAGCTGCTGTTGTTGCTTCAGAACTGGGAGGTGGGGAGTTGAGAGGGGATTTGGGGAGACAGGCTTCCTTTTGTAGGACTAAGGGGGAAAAAGGCACCTATACATTATGACAGCATCTCAAAACTTGTGTATTTATCTCACATCAACCAAGGCTCCTCTCGGTCTCCTAAAAATATTTCAAGACAGCAGTTTATACTATATCGACTAACTAGAGGCAAGCAAATGGAGGGGACAGTATAATCAGAGGAATGCAGTGAAGTCTCCCTCTCCTAGTTCAAACACTCATGTTGTTTCTTATATTAATAATACATATTTTAAAAACAAGAAGATCACAGAGGAGCCCTTAGCCAGTCAGGAGGTTGACTAAAGATCAAAGGCAGAGTTTGCTAATATATAGATCTGGGAAGAAATTCATGCCTGGCGATGCCCCCAAAAGAACATTATATAATTGTGAATGGGCAAGTGTGACCCTAAGAAGACACAGAAAATGATTCAAAGTGAAACCTGTCTGCTGAGTTTCTGAGCTTTATGTCTTTATATTTCCAAGAACTGGGATTTACAAAGCATACTAACACCTTCATCTACAAGGCTATGGCCTCGAGAAAAAAAAAAAAAAAAAAAACCAAAAAACAAAACAAGTGATATTCCAAGAACTTCTGAGGCAAGTCTCCTTTGACCCCAGATCCAGACTGGGTTCCTCTCTGATGTCTAATTACTTTAGCCAGCTGCTTGGGTGCATCTACACTGGCCTGACTGGAGAAGTCAGTGAGGTTTTATGACAAGCAGGGCGAGGGCAGGAGCACTTTGGGGCTTTGCTGCTTAGGGAGGGGAATCTGAGGTCTGCCCTTGGCCCAGCTTGCTAGCCTGAATCTGCTGAAGGGCCACCATGAAGACTCATATTTACATATATCTTGCTTTACATGCATTATCTGCCTATTATGCCACAGGATCCCTTTTAACTTCAGACAATGCTAAATGAAAAGGACCCACTGATACCCCAGCAGATTTTTTAAAGACCCATATGGCATCCCCTCAGGTCTGTAAAATATTTATCTGATTTTTACAATTAGGGCCCCCAGAGTACAAGATCACTACCCTTCTCCCAGCTAGACCACTCCAAGGGAGAGAAGCCCAGAAAAGGCATACTTGGGCCCTGCACCGACTGCTTCGATTTCTTTCCTCTTTTGAAGTAAGAATGACTGTGGTTGGGCCCTACTGCCAGGTGCCAGCTGGCCAGCCCTACAGCCTCCCTCTAGCTGAAGCCCTAACTTTGGGCCTCGCTTCCCACTCTGGATAGTCATTCCCACTCTGGGTATTCCTGCAACAGGATTCCCCCAACGGTGTATAAGACAGTATGAGCTCTTAGATCGATTGGGTGGTTGTAGTAGCAAAACTAGGTGATCAGGGGGTGTAATGTAGTCCATTTTTATACTCCATGAGTTATATATATACCCCAGATAAGAAAAGGAGGCAGAATGTGCAAAATCCATGTCTCGCTTTTATATGTTAGTGTCAGTGTGGGAACCCTCAATATTTCTTCCACAGTATATGGAAAAGAAATTATGTAAATAAATAACCATTACTGTTCAGGCCCTCCCGGCTTAGCCTTTGTAGTGCAGAGAATGTATTTCATGTTGTGCATTCAGAAGAGTTTAGTGTGCAGGAAATATAGATGTAATCAGCTGCCATAACTAGAAATCAAAGTTATTATTGTACTGAAAATGGATTTATTGTATTTATGTTAACTAGATGGCTCCTTTCAGAGAAGTTCTCATTTATTTGAGGGAATATTTAGGTGTATGAATTAATGAATTTTGTAAAAAAGTAAGTTCAGGTCATGACCTAGTCCTTGGATGCTGTCCAGAATATTAAGGATTAAGCATACCATCCGGAGGCCAAATGTGAAAACCACCACAGGGAACCCCTGTGCCAGCTTCAAATACTTAACTGGAGCAAACCTCATTGGACAATATGTCTAAAACTGTCTTTTCCATCATTCAAAGTTTGCTCAAAAGTTGGATGACTTTGAGAAGGCTTCCCATGAATTCCCTTCTGGCTAGCAATCAAAACAAGTTTAGTCAAAAGTGAAAATGTGTTATATGCAGGGGAGGGGGGTGAATTACTACTGACAGCTCTATTTCCATTATCAGATATTCTGTTTGCAATTTTCCAACAAAATAATGGTATTGTTCACTTCTTGGCCTCCCTTGCACCTTGAAGACTTGGTTTAAGAAACTTCTTTAAGGAAACGTTTAAAAAAGGAACACTTTTCACAGAGGTTTTAGGATGAAAAGTTGAAAGAAAAGCTAAATAATTCCACAGTCTTCCCTGCAGCCTGCACAGTCCTTGCCTCTCTCTGGGAAAGGGCATGAGATCAGATAAGTCAAGGGGGTTCAAAGGACCTTAGAGAAGACAAGGAAAAGGGAGGGTAGACCTTTCTTGAGAAGACCTCTATCCAGCTCCAAGTCACATTTCTGCTTCAAGACACCTCACTGGATGAGATTTTAAAACCCCAGCTCCCCTGACACTGGCTTGCTTCCTGATTAATTTGGCTAAAGAGCTGGGTAGTGCAGAATCAGCCAGGCCCTAGGCCTGCCAGAGCTAAAACAGCCTGGTCACTGCTTCCCAGGCTCTTTGTCACTTTTGAAAAACACGTTTCCATCAAGAAGACTTATTAAGATAAAATGCATTCAAACACCAAGGAGGCTATTCAATAAATCTTCCATTTGTTTTAAGGTTCTCACTTTATCCTCTTGCAAAGAATAACTCCCTCTCCCACTAACAGGCCTGCATTTGCACTGAAAGTAAAAGGGGGGCAGTCCAAGTCCATGGCTCTGTCCACCCTGCATACAAATGAGATGCTCTTGTCTAAATAAATTATCTGCTGTTCAGATCGATATTAATACTACATTTGCTACATTACAATATTGTGCAAATTTAAGAGTCATTTTAATACAATGTAAATACGATTCTTCACGCATGAAAGCCAAGAAATATTGATAGATTATACCACAGCTTACTGTTTAACAAGGCCTTGGGAAAGGGTTTTTGCCATCTCTGCTCAAGAATGGTTTTAATTTGGTCTTTGGATGTCCTGGCTCTAGGATAGATTTATTAGGATAGTTTATTTGTTCTCTGAATGGAGGAATTTAAAACAATAGTGCCAATAATGGAGGTAAAACTGCAGCTAACCCTACTCACAGTGGGCAAGGCCCTATACTCAATCTGAGCAGCTCTGTTCCCCACCAGCGTCCCTTCTGGCTTTGTTTATATTTCCCCCCATTACCTGCTGTCTCGGGTGTTTATATGTTTCCCTCTTGCAGGTTACAATAATAAAAAAGGCGGGCAGTGTTCTCAAAGGCTCAGACCAGAGCCTTCAAAGGCAACATTAATACACTTTCGTAGAAGTTAATTTGAACCATCTATCATAAGAGAAATTGTTAACATGCACGTTACCACCGCCTACATTTAATTTGATATTTGTAAGGCACTCTGTTAAATTTCCAATGTTCGTGTGTTTCGCATGGCTATGAAATTTATCTCTGGGGCGGGAATCCGCCCATATTTTCGGGTTCCACAGTATTGCTTTTGTTTTTTATCTTTCTTGTTTAGATCGAATCCGGTTTTTACGACCCTCAATAACCTCAGCAACTGCAAACATGAATGGTTTCCGATAAGGGAAAATCAGGCAGCAATAAAGCAGGATTATTTATGATTTATTTGGGCGTACTCTTCTCTTTCCACCTCTGTGTACGTGTGTGTCTGTGTCGGGAAACTCATCCAGGGAGCGTGCCACACAGAGGAGAAAGCCACATTCCCACGTTCTCTTCCTTCCCTCTCCTCCTCCAGAAACGCTGAGCTCTGGCACGCACACGCAAGCACATCGCACACACATACACACCGCACACCCGCGCAGCCAGACGGATCCACGGCACCGCCTCTCCCCACCAGACA